CCATTTTCACGTTATCAAATGGCTACACAACACTATCCGGAACTCGAAGTATGGACCCTATGAAGTATCGGTTATCGAGCAGATGAAGCACAACGTCACCAACATGACTTACTCACGGACAGTTGCTGATTACGAAATGTACGAGGCGAGTTTGAGCATTTGGCATGTAGAGACGGAAGGAAGGAACTGTGGGATTACTTCAAGAAAAACTGGGACTCTCTCTCAGAAATGTGGGTCATGGCACATCGTGTGGATCTGCCTCACTTCAACAACCACACCAACAATCGAGTTGAAGTCTCTTCGGGAAGTTGAAGCTAACCTTGAAAGGACACTTGACCATGCGAGATAGTCTGGTGGCCCTGTTCGAATACCAGAGACGCCTAGAGGAAGACTACCAGTCGAAGGTTGAGATACCGGGGACTATGCGCGACGTGGCGTACACGGATGAGATGAACGCCGTGTTGGGGATGACTACACGCTGGGTGGCAGAAGCAATTAAGTCCCAGTTCGACGTAGCAATGGATAGCAAAATTGCTGACTCGTACGCCTTCCGGGATAACGGAGCACATGTGACTGTCTCTCGAAATGGACGAGAGTATCTTCTGGATAAGGAAAGCTGGAAGTGTGATTGCGAATTCTCCCAGACAATGCAGCGCCCTTGTCGTCATGCGTGGTGTACAGAAAGACGTGTGGAAACCCGTTTGGCATCCCTTACGGAGCAATTGCGACCAGGTACGTTCCGCTGCTTTCCAGGTATTGCCCAGGTACCGAACAGGTATTGACCAGGTTTTAGCGCAGGTAGATTCAGCTCAACTAGACCCTGTAATTCCATACTCTCTGTCGAGCCCCTCTTTGAAAATACGCAACTCGGTACAGCAGCTAGGAAGAGAAACTTGGGAGGCGATTCCATAGGTATGTTGCTTGACGAACCAAAACAGAGGTAAGACAGACCCTGAATGGCATGCAGCTCTTAGTCAGCTGCGGCGAAAATGCGCGACACCAGAAGACGTCGACTTGTTCAACACAAGATACATGAAAAAGCAGAGATGCCTGACTGGGTTTCAACCGCTAAACACATCGCCTATTTGAATGCGGATGTTGCCGCAGCTAACCAGAACAGCTTAGCGTCTAGTACCTTTCCAGTCGTTCAAATTCGATCGAAGCACACCGTGCAGCTCAAGCCACTAGCAAGTCAAAGGGAAATACCACCTTACTCTATCCAAGCACTACTAGAGGAAGCCGAAACAGCAAACGCAAACAGAGATCGGGTGGTTTCCAGAGATGTAAAACTGGTGGTTGGAGCACCTGTGACACTAACCTTTAACATGGAACAATCTGCCGGTCTTTGTAATGGCACCAACGGCGTCATCTACGACTTTATCTTCTGTAAGGACTCAGCATTACCTATAATACTTGTTCAGATAACGGATTCGTACGCCGGTCCTTCGTTCCTGCCTGGTGTGGCAAATATTGTACCGGTTGTTCCTAGAAAACTTAGCTGGACGAAGAAGACCAGCGACCTAAGTGTTTTCAGAGAAGGAGTTCCGTTAAGACTGGCTTATGCTATTACAGTCCACAAGATCCAAGGTTTGACCTGTTCAAAGATTGTTTTCCACTCAAAAACAGTACCCAATACTTCTTTTGCGTATGTAGCTCTCTCGAGAGTGCGTCGCCGAGATGACATCATTCTTACCGACCCGCTATCACTTAAACAACTATCTACATCCCAAAAGCAATTTAACCTGTTTAGCAGAGAAGAAGTTCGAATAAAGCAAGCAGTGTCAAGAACTAAACGCATTGCGATGACCGAAGTAGCTGTAATGAAGCAAGTGGCACGAACTCACAATCGATTACAGTTACCTCGGTAGCTACTGGATGCTTATTTATCACTAATGCCGTGCTGCGCCCGGGAAGCTCTGGATATTTGGATACTTAATTCGCAGTGTGTGCGGATTGGCTGTCACAAACCGTATTTGTACCGGTTTTTTTTTACAAAACCAAGTCAGCAATACAAAACTAAATCGGGAATACAAACACAAAGTGAGCAGTTTTAGTATCGAGCTAATAAAAAGGCACCAGGTTTTACACCAGTTTCAGAATACCGGTTTTCTAGTATGTATGTGGTACAAGCGGATATTCAAAACCGGTAGTCATGTGGCTAGATTTTATTTATTGTAGCTGCTCCCTTGTTCTTACGTATTATTATATGGACCACGTTAGTGTTCTTGCAGTGTGCACAAATTGCATAAGTTAGTACAGAAGATAAACGGAAAGCTCCGCGTTATCTATGATGGGGTGTATGGCAAGGCAAAAGCAGCAAAGTCTTCGAACTGGATTCATTTCTTCTCGTTTATTCGACCAATCCAAGTCTTCACCCCAGTGATTAAAAAGTAAGAAGTGCCAAGGTAAAAACGGTGTTTTAGTGGAAAACATCACAAGTTCATTTTTAAAGTGTTTTTTTTTTTTCAATATTCGGCGAGAAAAACCCAGAAAATCAGATCGTTCTTGGTTTGTCTAGGTTAATGCTGCGGCGGAGCAGGAGATATGGAGTAGGGTAGGAGTCGGATGCAACGTCAGACGGACAGTAGGGAGGATATAATTATGTGTATAGTGAGCTTTTTTCATGATAAGCTGGGTTCACTGCTGAGTTTTTTATTTTTTTTTATTTCGACACATCCATACAGTTGGTTTCTTTTGCTACTGTGGGTGGGCAGACATCAAAAGAAGCATATCTAAGCTACAGGTAAGCTATTCCAGCTTACATGAAGCTCTACAGTAGTATATATTTTCGAAAGCTTACTTTTTCTTCAAATACTTCTCTCCTTATATCAAGGCCATCCATATTTTTCGTGTCGATTGGCATGTGAGCGAGGAGAAGTTGTTGTCTGGGATAACAATTGAAATGCTTTCATCATAATAGGATAAAATTCACTTTAATTTTCGTTAATACGAATTTTGGCCTAGCTTTTCACAAGGAGGCCTTCATTGACTTCAGAAAAGGTTCTCGTTAGCTACATAATCACTGAAGTACATGTATACTATTAGAGCTAAGTACTGGTAAAACAATTAAATATGTCTAACCTGGGACGTATCGCATTGTGAAAAAAGTGAAAGATAATCTCACTCTGATCTTGTTGAGGCACCGATAACTTACATTCTTACAATTAGTGAAGTTAATCGTTATTGAAAGAGTGATGCACCGTTTTGTAGGTGAAAATATCTTTTTCAATATCTGTTCGGACAATGTTTTTCTAAATAAAAGCAGGTTATTAGTTAGTACATATTGGTAGTAAATGGTAATACAACCTAGCGACTAAATCATTCAAATAACGTCTGGATTTTTTTTTAATGATGTAGCGACTGAGCTTCTTCGATGCTCTTCAATCGACTATGTTCTTGCAAGGCATTTTCGTTCGGTACGAAGTACTCCAAGAACTTTTTCGTTAGCGGTTCCATCAGGTAAAGCTGTTTAAGGGTTGTTACTCGGGTAACAGCCACGTAGAATGACGAGTGTTGAGGAATTCGCCGTGTTGGGTGTCGGAGAGGTGCGAGGATCATCTTTTCGACAGTTAACCCTTGACATTTTTCTGTCGTCAGCGAGTACGCAGGCACAACTGGAACTTGACAAATACTTATCGAAAATGTCCGCTGTTGCATCTTGATTTGGACGCCCGTCTCCTTTCTTTTGCAAAGGGGGACCACTCCGGGTGGTAATGACGGAACGAATTGATGGGATGCATAGTCTTTCAAGTGCACAAATACTATATGGGGAGGTAGCGAATGGTAGTATTCTTCTACTCCATCCAACACGCTGGTTCTCACGACGTCATCGCAAGCCGCAGTGAAAGCAACAACCGTACCAATTGAGCCATTAGCCAGCTTCAGGGAAGTAGAAACGTTCTTTGTACATTGTACGATGGATCCCACCGCAATTTCCAAAACCAACGGCATTCCACTGGTTTTATCATCTCGAATATTCTCGAGTGATTCTCGCTGGGTCTCAGTCAGTGGAAATCTAGCCCTGGTCACTGTTGCAGGAAACCGGTGCAAAGGAACTTGAGCTTCCAAAGAGTAAGCCCGAATTGCAGATACGTTGAACTCGACTCGAAGTGTGTTTGATGTAACGATAATTGGGCAATAACCCTTTAACCCGGCTTCTTGTGACCCCCAGTTATCTCGATAAGCCATCTCATTAACCAAATCGATGTCCGATTGATCGTATCTTCCAGTTCTCCACTTATCTAGAATAGAACGCCAAGTAGGATCACGTTGATGGCGCATATTGTCCGTGAGAATTACAACCCAATTCACAGACTTGTAGGCATTAGCTCCTCGAATACGGTCCAAATATGTGGAATTCGTTTTGGAGTGTTGACTGGAGGGAGGATTGTTGTCAGGATGCATAAACGCAGGTTGGCCTGCAACTGGTAGCTGTTGTAACCAATCTCCTACCATTAAAACGTGAATTCCCCCGAATACCTTGTCAGGACAGTCAAGTAATATACGCAATGAGGCATCTATCTTGCCCAGAATGCAAACATCACAAGTTGAAACTTCATCCAGAATGAGCAACTTCAAGCTCGCAAAACGCTCCTTTTGCTCCGTTGTCGGCGTCCATTGCTTACGGCTATTGACATACCAACCAAACAGTTTGTGTATGGTTTGTCCATTTGCAGCCTGAGCAGCGACGCCTTGATATGCAGCAGTTGCAATTACCTGTGGTGAGTTCCACGTTTTTGCAAGAGCCTGAAGAGCACCAATAACTCGACTTTTGCCGGCTCCAGGAAGTCCACCAAGAAAAGCAATGCGTTGATTTTGGTGGAGGTGACCGACGAGGCAAGACGTAAGCAAATCAGTGCCAATCTTGAAGAACATCTTGTCCTGCTTGTGATTTAAGTGAAATGTCGATGACACTTGCTCCAAAGAGGGAAATTCTTGCAGTTGCTCAACGTTCTGTTCGAGCTGTGCAATCTCCACTTGGCTACGTTGTGTTGGGTTGTTGAGCACTTGAATAGCTCGTTTAAGCATTTGCACCCGCGTTGGCAACTCCGGAAAGATATCTACCAACGACGAAATACTTGTCCTAGCTTTTGATGAGGTTTCGGAGTTTGTTTCGCCGCGCATGCATTGCTCCACATCTGCAATACTCATCGTAAAATTACCAGTAGGAGCTCCGGAGTTTAGTGTGGAGCCCGCAGCAAGACTGGAGCACAGCTTTGACTTTTTCAACATGTCAATATTTTTTGTCGGCTGAGTTGGTACAATCACAAATTCATCACCTATGTCGTAGTCGCCATTTTCAGAATCGCCATCTTGCTCATCAGAATCACTGTCTACGACATCGTGGGCACTGCTATCGTCAAAGTCCTCGTCTTCATCTTGCCCAGCCTCATATCCGAAATAGCGATCTACTTCACTGTCCCGTTGTGTTCTCAATAGTTCCCTGGATGCGTAATAATCAGTGTTATGTTTCATAAAGAGATGTGCTGAAGGAGGAGCCTCAAACTCAAGCCACCTCTTGAAGAACTCTGCAAATGTTTTACCATCTGAATCGAACTCTGCTGCACCCCGGAAAGGACGAAACAAGGTCATCACCGATTGCTGATAGCGAAGACGTTCGTCAGTTGGTAGATCTGGACGGCGAATATCAGGAAGACGCTTGTGATAAACAGTAACAATCTTCTTTACTGGCATCCTGAAGAGTGAGTGGAATTCGTGCATCGTGTGGCTTTCCAAGAAACGTTTTCCAGTTTTGCTCTTCTTGCGCTCCCATTGCGCAACAAAACTCATTAAGTCGAGACTTTCTAGAGTAGTCGGGCGATAAATGTAGTCAAGCCAAACGGTAGATGGCTTTAAAAACATCATGCTACCGTCTCCCTCAAGCCTGACATCGAGTGGCTCATTTTTTTGAAATATGGCCCGAAGAACATTCGTCAAGTGTAACTTGACAAATAAGTGCGACGAATACATCGCGGATTCGTTCAGTAGGTATAGGCATGCCATAGGTGCCGAGACTTCATGCGGGTTAGTCAATGTGCAGCACATTGACTGAACTCGGCGACGTCCAAGCGCAGTAGGGTCATCTGAGTCCTGGATAAGCCGTTCGTTGGCCTTGTCAAAAGCGTGTAAATGGAGTGCCCACGGGTTTTCGATGTCGTGTTGCGGTTTCGTAGCGTACTTGATGGTATAATAGGCCTTTTCGGGCCCTGTAATACACAACACAGGCAAATACCAATGGGTCAGAATTAACGCGTGGATCTAAAAAGATGTTACACTTACCTTCTCCAGCACCAAGAAATTTTACGTCGTGGTTACATTTGAAAATTGAGTTGATCAGTGGGACGTACGTGTTGATGTATTCGTTTCCTGGGAGTCGCTTCATCTCGATTCGATTTTCATTTGTCCACCTAGTCTCCGGGCATGCCTCTTTGGGCATGAACATCCGGCAAATGTCTCCTTTAGGCGTCCGCTTTGTTTTTTTGAAGCAGGAACTGGAATGGAACCAGTGGTAATGCTGATAGAACTCCAAAGCACGAGTAGTAGTGATTGCCTCAGTTGAGGATGGACTTGGCCCCCTTGGTAATGGTTTTGTGCTGGCAATTCGACGAAATATATCGTTGTTTTCACCACCAGACCCGCTTGTAATTTGTTCGAAACTCTGAGCATGCTTCATGATTAGCTCACTTCCCCCAAACGTTTGCCCACAGTGGTCGCACACCGTAGTTGGCGGTCTAATCGATCCAGAACAGGGTTTGCGAAATGGCTTGCGATGAAATTCAAGTCGTGAAATGAGACCCACTCTGCATGACGGGCAATTCCGCGTATCTAAAGGGACATTCGAAGTCGCAATAGAGTCAACATACTTGATCATGGCAGCGCGAAATCGATCCAAGGAGCACATTTGATAGTACTCGTCGACAGTTGATGGCATGCCTGCTATCCAAATAAGCATACGTGTGTGGAGAGATCCCGTCGAGTTCTGGGACTCGGTAGCTGCATAGAAAGCTTTTGTGCAGCCAAATAAGCCAGGATCACTGCGTGAGCTGTTGCTGTCCAAGTCCCAATTCAGTACCGCATCGATAAATGTAGTTACAACGCGATCAAAGTACCTGTTTTGTTGTGATATTCATAAAACAAATTCTGGTGAGAGACAGTGATCACAATTCTTGAGATTTACTTACCGTGCACAAATGTAAGGGTTTGCAGTGGCAATCTGTCCCAATTTGGCTCGCGAATATTCCATTGTGCTGTTGATTCCGCTTTCGAGTTCCATAAGAATATCATCTGTGATTTCACCAGCGGGGTTCGCAATTCGAAACGTGGTTGAACTATCTGGTGAGAGCGTGAAAAAAAATTGTTGGCTGCCCCAGTTCTAGCTGCATTGAGAACAGGTTTGCACGGGCACCAGATCGTTCGTCATTGGACCCCCAGAACGCTCGCATCCCAGTGGAAATATTTGAATATAGCTCTTGAACTCGAGGGTCAACTTCAGGCGCATCTGGAAGCGGACGCTGCTCTGTAATCGCTCGCAGTCGATCTTGTTGGTGCTGAACGTACACTCGCAGCTCCTCTCGAGGAGCATTTGCTGACATATCTATTGTTTGAGGTGACATTCTTGCTTTAATAGATATTGCTTGCATTGCTTTGTGTCTGGCAATTACATCGAAGGCAACCAAAGCAAATGATCGGTGTTGTGCGTGGCATCGTGTCGACAGACGCAAACAATATCGGACGGACTCAAGAAGACTTATTTGAATTGACCGGGTCTCATCAAGACCACCACGACCGTAAGGAAAAAGGTCCGCAAATGCGTGAACCCAAAATGCCGGATCGAAGTCCGACAAAATCCCTGTTGATCGGTGAACAATTAAGCGCTGCTTGTTCCTGTTTAGAGCAAGTTGAAATCCAATAGTTGCATCCACGTGAGTGAAATTACTGATCAAGCCATTAGCAGCTTGTTCACACACCTCATCTTCAGCTCTCACATTCTGGTGAGCTGGAGTAGGGGCATTGTGCCTCCACATGGCTCGGTCGAGCTCATCGCAGCCATGTCCAATCCGTGAATGAAGAAAGCTACCGTCATCATTATCCACTGTCATTTCGTTACTACCGCACAGATTTTCGCAATTCTTGACATCATTAGCTGCCCCAATCCCATCCACCTCAATATCATCATGTCGACGACCAGCCATTGCTTCTGATCTGTGGTTATTCGGTCTTTGTAGCTCGTCAGCTTCGGTTTGATTGCTCCGATTTGATCTTTCATCTTCGGTCTCGTCGACTTGCTTGCCACCTCGTTCGACTACGACACGTGTACGCATTGTTGTGATATCTGCCTCCCAATTGTCAGATTCACGGATGTTCGAGTAGAGATCATTGTTACCGCGATACCATTTCAATTGCTGGCTTAGCCGAGATATCCGAACGTCATAGGCTTTTAAAGCCGCCGCTTTCTGTGCTGGGGTTGTCGATCCTACCATTGTCACTCCAACAACTCCATCGGAAATAACGTCACGAGGTAATAGCTGCGCTGGAGGAGCTGGGTCGGCACGAGAAAAGTAGGCGTGCGACCGAAGCGAAGAATGTTTTCCTCCACGTACAACAGATATGAAGTGCATTGGCTGTGACAGATTGAGCATTGCATTCTCGATGAATGTGCTGTCTCTGAAGGCATCCGGTATTCGCCCCATGTACAACCCGTTTGCGATAGCAAACTTCGGTGGATTGGCACGTTTTTTACCGAGCAAAGACGTTCGACATGGTTTGCATATCTGAAGAATCACGGAGCCATCAACTAGCGAAATTCCAGTCCTAGAAAGTAACAACCCTCGGAAACACTGATCAATATCCGACACGTCATACAGTAGTACCTCCGAAGTGAAGGTTGGAGATTCGATGGTCCACTAAGGCGCATACGAAACGCCTTCATGAGGTCACTTTGAGGAAGGAGCCGCTCGGATTTGGTTCTGGAAGCTAAATGAAGACAGTCACAAACGCAGCACACCACTTCTTTCATGGCTTCCGCTGAAAGTTTGTTTTGAGCAAGCGTGTACACGCACTGTTCAATTTTCTCACGAGCATTCAGTAGACCATTGACAGCTAATACGACGCCACTTTCAGGACTAGATCGCTTGCATCGCCGTCGTTTCAATTCATTCAACCTCTCCGTCGTACTCGTTGCTGCTCGTATGTCACGCTTGGTTTTGCTTTGGCGACCACGAACACCGGTTTCTGCTACTTGGGCGCATGCAGCACACTTTTGGCGTTTGCGCATCAGGTGATGTTGACCAAGTTGTTCTTCAACGCATGTGCACAACCTTGGCTCTGATGATGACATTCACCTTGGTTGGCAGGTGGAAAGAGCAAAATGACTGAGGTAGAATGTAATCTCGACACATTTCGACGATGTCTCCAAAAAAAATGAGGTGGTAGTGCTGACGTGACTTCGAATGTAATTAGTACAGGTCGTTGTGTTGAATTATTGCAGAAATTATGTCGTTCTCGCGTCATTTCTTCTGTTCACGAAATATGGCGGCTTATTCGACTTGCTTATCGAAAAGTGGTGCACAGGTCGACCGAGTTGATTTTTTCGGTGCATCGTAGTATAAAAACTTTGGTTTATTCACTTTTTAGGGAGTTTTATAACGACAACAACGTTCCTTGCACTTACATGTAAATCGAAGGCGACCGCTACTATAGCTGACGGTAATTTCTTCGCCAGCCCTGATGCTTCGACGGCTGAATATACCGACGCGTGGTCCGCTGAATGACTGAAATTCGTACCAAGTGCAATTGGGTCGGCAGGAGTGATTAACAAACCGAGACTCGTTTCCACAGATCCTAGCGTCGATGAACACGGTCCGATGCGATTGTGTTGGCGTCTTCAGTTCCATAATATAGTCTTGCACTCGAGAGATTTTCTCGTCCTCGTAAATCAGCTCACCGACGTATTCAAGCAGAAAAGCGCCTTTAGGCACAGCACTTGTTGCGAAAACACCCAAATCAACGTTGGTGGGCTGGATCGAAAATTGGTAAGTTTGAATAAATCTGTTTCCACACCCAAGTCCGCTCTTGCAACTAGTGTCATCACACAAGATGTGAGCATGATAATTCTCACAAGACGAAATTCCCACATCCATGCACATCCTGCCAGCACAGCTACAGCTGTATCCATCAGGTGCTGCAAACACTGGTTTCGGAAGCCGGTCACTGCAGAAACTTGAGTGAATCCTGTAGACGCCGTTAGGTAGCATTGTCAAAACAAGAAATGAGCAATACCTGGCTGTCTGGTCGTCCAATTTATGTCATTGAGATGAAAAATATACAGTTTAAGCGCTAAAAAAATTGTTTTTCGAATACCTGGCACAAGCATCATCGCATATAAATTTGAATGGTGAGTGCACCAGTATCACAGCCAATCGAATGGACTTCTTTACCGTGGATCCAAATACATGGATACACATGCGATATCGAATTCGATTTTCAAAATCCTTGGGCAAACAAAGGTAAAAAAAAAACGTCAAATGGTTAAAAAAAAAAAAAAAAGTATGGTTTAACAGTACAATGCAACAACCCGACACATTGTTTCCATCCAGAGATGAAGCGAAATGCCCATCTCGGAAACGATTGCTGTAGTCACAAACAATACTGAAGCAACGATTATCGAAATGGGGACGCAAGGTTACGACCGAATTTGAATAAACGAAGAGCAAACGTGTGGAGGGCGTCGGATCAGAACAGCGTACTCACTACAAGTGGACTGTCATATTCGAAGTTCCGAGGCAACTGAATTGAAGTTGGGGTGTTTCACGACTGGGAATCGTGCTCAGTTTCGAATTATCGCCGCGACAACAAGATGGGTCTTGCCGAAGCTCTACAACGTGAAGCCGATAAGAGCAGCACAAACCCTCCGGCTCGCCTCCACGCATTCGAACGGGCTCAAGACATTGTCGAGTTTCTCGGAGCCAACGCTGGAGACCTTCCCACTTCCATCTCGCTCGACATGTTCATCGCATTTCGGGAACCTTTTCATGGAGGCTGGATGCTTTGGCTTGGCGACGAAGAAGTGAGTCGACTAACACCACAGCAGATGGCGGGGCTACCACATTTGCCCTTTGAAGAAAAGGCACAGTATTTCTTTCGCTTGTCATTGTGGACTAAGAGTAAGCGTTCCTTCGACGCAGTCGACATCGTTGACATCCCTGACGGACAGGAAATTTACATTGAGCGCGTGACCGGAATCAAACTCTTCGTAGCGTCCACGAATTCTCCGAAACTTGCCGAAG